TGTCTCATTGATGGTCTCACCTGTGTGTCTCATTGATGGTCTCACCTGTGTGTCTCATTGATGTCTCACCTGTGTGTCTCATGGATGGTCTCACCTGTGTGTCTCATTGGTGGTCTCACCTGTGTGTGTCATGGATTGTCTCACCTGTGTGTCTCATTGATGGTCTCACCTGTGTGTCTCATTGATGGTCTCACCTGTGTGTCTCATTGATGGTCTCACCTGTGTGTCTCATTGATGTCTCACCTGTATGTCTCATTGATGGTCTCACCTGTGTGTGTCATGGATGGTCTCACCTGTCTCTCAGGTAACGTACTCAGGAGGCAGTAAGTGTTTCAGCTGCACCTCAGCCTCAGAGAGAGACAAGTGGATGGAGAACCTGAGGAGAACCATTCAGCCCAACAAGGTGAGGACCTCCTGATCCACATTCATTCTTTAATGCAGGAGGTGCAGAAGATCCAGACCAGGATCTGATCTTAGACCCAGATCTGGTCTGCTGGATGTGGCCCTCAGCTGGTCCCAGGTGAGGTCTTGAAGTCTGGGTGTCTCTGGTGTTGACTCAGTCTGGTTCTGTCTCCAGGACAACTGCCGGCGGTCCGAGAACCTGCTGCGTCTCTGGATCATCGAGGCCAAAGACCTGCCCCCCAAGAAGAAGTACTTCTGCGAGCTGTGCCTGGACGACGTGCTGTACGCCCGGACCACCAGCAAGACCCGTCAGGACAGCCTGTTCTGGGGCGAGTGCTTCGACTTCAGCGGGCTGCCGGCCGTGCGCAGCCTCACCGTGCACGTGTACCGCCACGTGGACAAGAAGAAGAAGAAGGACAAGAACAACTACGTGGGCCTGGTCAACATCCCCGTGTCGGGCGTGACGGGCCGGCAGTTCGTGGAGAAGTGGTACCCGGTCAGCACGCCCACCTCCGCCAAGTCCAAAGGAGGCGGGCCCTCCATCCGGATCAAGTCCCGCTTCCAGACCACCTCCATCCTGCCCATGGAGCAGTACAAGGAGTTCGCTGAGTTTGTCACCAACAACTACAGCATGCTGTGCTCCGTGCTGGAGCCCGTCATCAGCGTCAAGAACAAGGAGGAGATGGCCTGCGCGCTGGTGCACATCCTGCAGAGCACGGGCCGGGCCAAGGTCAGAACCCACCCAGAACTGAACCGCTGTTCCCCAAACCCACAAATATAAACATTTAGAGTGGTTCTCCACCAGTTTACCTGAATATATAAAGAATAAAAACATTTTAAAAGGTTTTAAATGGCAGCTGAGGTCTGGTGCCACCTGCTGGCTGGAACTAAAGCTGCAGATTTTAGAACGTTCTGCTTCAATTCAGGATTTATTTAGATTAAAATGAACTTTTTATGCTTGTTATGACCAAATATAATCAAGAACAATGAGGAGTTTCTGACTATCGACACTAAAATGTAGTTTTAGTGAAACAAATATTTAAAGTGTCTGTGACATCAGATTTTAATAATACATATGAATGCATTTTTAGAAAGATGACATTGATAAAATATTTCAAAATAAATTTCATGTCACTGAGATGAACAGTTGTTGAGATGTTTGCCTGTGAAGAAACAGGAAGTGATGTCACAGGGGAATGTCTGCACGTGAACAGAGCGTTGTTACAACACAGACTGTAGAGAAGAATCTGATGTTTCTGTAGATTATTTTAATTCTATCAGAGATGAAGAAGAGTCAGAGTTTAAATTATATTGTTTTAATAAACAAAGACCAGAGTTTTCTTTGTTAAAGAGTTCCCCTGTGATGTCACTTCCTGTTTCACTTTGGCTGAGACAAGTTCAAAAGAAAATGGAACAAAATGGGTTAAATTGTGTGTTTTATTCCAACTTTCCTACATATATAGAGATGCTTGTTTTTACGTTTTGTATTTGAAGAATAAACATGTCACAGACACCTTAATGATAATATATTAATATTAATGATAATATATTAATATTAAATATTAATGTTATTATATTAATATTGATACTATAATAATGTTAATGACAATATATTAATATTAATATTACTTTATTAATGATAATATAATATATTAATATTAATGATAATATTTAATGAGTCCAAAAGCCTGTTTTGTTTCTGAGTGAAGGTGAAATATTTCCTGCAGCAGTTTATGATTGATGAATAATTAGAGTTCTGGTCTTGATCTGGTCCTGGTCCATGCAGGACTTCCTGACGGACCTGGTGATGTCGGAGGTGGACCGGTGTGCGGACCACGACGTCCTGATCTTCAGGGAGAACACTCTGGCCACCAAGGCCATCGAGGAGTACCTGAAGCTGGTGGGACAGAAGTACCTGCACGACGCGCTGGGTGAGCACCTGGTTGGACCTCAGGCAGGTCCTGGTCCTGAGGGGTGAAGAGAGAGACCATGAAGCTTCTTCATCCTCCTCCTCCTCCTCCTCACTTCAGGAGCTAAAATTAACCAAACAGCTGAAGTGTTTATTTTTAGCAGCCGAACCTTTCCTCCAGCTTTGGTCTTTTTTTAGCTTCAGATCTAGAAATAGATGCTGCTTGTGCTCAGGCTCGACCCGATCCAGTTCTGTTCTGTGGTTCTGGAGACGTTGACTCAGAGCAGAGTTATTTTACTAACACAGACATGAAAAATGACATCATCACCCACCCATTTAATCACACATATTTCCCTTTAAAACAGCTGCATGCATTTCATTCCTCAGACCTCCCTGACACATAATATTTATGATTTATTTCATTTTGTGTTGATTGTGTTGATTGTGTTGATTGTGTTGATAAAAATGTAGGTTTGTACTCAGTGTGAAACAGCACGGTCTAAACTGACACATCCTGTTTACACACATGAGAAATATAAACAACAATAACATGAACAACAGGTTATAACAAGGCATGGTGCAGGTTCAACAGTAGGAAGGACTGTGATGTAGCACAGTGTTGTTCAAAGAGCGGGGCACGGCCCCCCGGGGGGTCACCAGGGAGCATTATAGGGTCCTCAGAAAGCTGGAGGAGATGATAAGGGGAAAAAAGTAAAAACCTAAAATTTACATCTAATTAATATTTTAAATTATTACCT